TCATGTGCAGTACCTTTCCAACCAGCAGCAACAAAGGTAAATCACATAACAAAATCACAAGCACATAAGACATTTTGTGATGTTCTTCCTTTGCGATTACGATATGCTTGTTGCACCGCTTTAGGAACCTCCCCTTCTATATATGTTCCATCAATCGCACCAACAGAATCCTACCAAATAAAAAATACATCAATATTAGTTAGTGAACATAAAATAAATTGGAAGCATTATAGAATGCACTTCATAAAAATAATGTTTGTAAGAGTAATAAAAATAGTGCTTCCAAGACAATGCAAAGTCATAAAATAAATATTATCTCTTTAAACAAAGTTGATAGGAAATATGTAATTAAATACTAATAACTTACACATAAAATATAAATGCTCACTTATTAAGGCCATAAAATAAATTTATTAATGTGATTGGAATTCTACCTTAAACCAAGGCCAAAATTGAGTATTATGTCGAATTTTGGAATGTACACCAGTCATATTTTTTGGTTGTATAAATGTTGGCGTCATCTTGCTAATTGCCTCGGTAACTATTTTAACATAGCGGTTAATTGTTTCAAGTGAATGTTGAAAAGTTTCACAATCGTGAGGTGTGAGTTAAAGTGACTATATGTTGGTGAGAATAATAAATTTTATGTCGGTGAGAATAATAAATTTTTAAAAGTAATGATGTGATTATAAATTTATTTACATATGAAAAAATGGTTAGTAGATATAAATGTGGGGTTGTTTTAACAAAATATAAACTCATGGATCAATTATTGTATTAAAATATCTCAGATCATGATATGGAATCACCATATAATTCCATATCATGGTTTTTGGAGAATATGGTATCACCTTTCATGATATTCCAAACAAAATATAAACTCATGGATCAATTATTGTATTAAAATATCTCAAATCATGATATGGAATCACCATATAATTCCATATCATGGTTTTTGGAGAATATGGTATCACCTTTCATGATATGGAATCAACGTAAAATCGCATGTCCAAACGCTGATTCCATATCACGATACCATATCGTGATATGGTATCACATGGCCAAACGCCTACTTAATATCCAGATACATCATTCCACTTCCATGACAATTTTGTTTGTGTATAGTGTATTTGATACAAATGTTATTGTTGATACATAATTCTGATTATTTCAAACCTAAATCAGTATGAATCTGGTTTATAGTTATGTACCACTTATGTATCATTTGCTATGTCTCGGACAAAAGAGTAATGTATTCGCGAGTTTTAAAATTTTTGGGATTATTATAATTTGAGAAACTTTTCAAATATGATATTATTGCTCTCTCTCCCATTTTATGTGAGGTAGTTTGACTCACGGTGTTTAAGAAAGAAAGGAAAACTTTTAAAACTTGTGGTCCAAAATGAATGATAGAAATTTGTGTGACTATAAATCATTTTATTAAGTATTGACATTTTAAATTTAAATTGTTACTTAATATATAAATGTATCATTCTTTTTTAGACAAACTAAAAAATAAAATAAGTCACATAAATTGAGACAAAGAGAGTATAATTTAAGAACCTTTTGAAATAGGATATAATTAGCGCCTGAATTATTGAAGTTAGGTGTACTTTTCTATATATTAGAAAGGACAGTTTCAACATGTTAGTTTTTTGGCATTAAATTAAAGTTTGGAGATATTAAAGTCTTTAAAATAAATTGCAAGATAAGCTTGCTTTAAAATGTTGTAACTTTTGCATTGTTATTTGAACCTAAGTAAGAACTCTTAAAAAGATCCTCCTTTTTCTATTTAATTACAAACTATGCCCTGCCAATGGTGAATATGATGGGTCGCACTTTTTATTTGCCATAGATGTTAGTATTAAAGTATTAGAAAAATTTTTGCAAGATAAACTTGCTTCAAAAAGTTGTATTTCTTGCTTTGTTTTTCGTACCTCAGCAAGAGCTTTAAGAAAAGTCCAATTTTTTTTATTTAATTACAAATCCTGCCCTGTTATTGAAGAATATGATGAACCTCACTTTTCTATTTGCCATAAGTATCATAAGATGTTGGTCTTGGTCCATTTCCGTTTTTACCCTCTTCCATTTGCCATAAATTTCATAGATATTTACTCTGTTTTTATTTATTTTTCAAATATTTTTAACAAATCAAGAAAGAATTCTTTTTCTCCTATTATACCCTCAATTTATTAACATTGAGTTAATATTTTTGAAAAATGTAGCGAGTAAATATGTTTAAGACTCTATCAATTACAACAAGAGTAAAATGATAAACTCATTATACCAATCATTATTTTCTTAAGAGGTGTGTCAAGTCAAAATTTGACAATTCAAAAGGGTCGGAGGGAGTACATACTTCATCCGCTTTTTACTTGTCAATTATTTAAAAATATTTTTTTATTTTTATTGTCAATTTTTCACATATTAAGAATAAATTATTTTAAAAAATTATATTATATTTTTAGTATTAATTATTTAACCTATAGATTATTATTTTTAATGAATCTATAAGTCTAAATATGACAAGTAAAAATGAGCTGACATAACATATAATGAGAAGCGATTGTAGAAAGGATAAATAATGAGAAGAATCAATTATAGGAATCAAGGAAAATGTTATCCTTTTATTGGCTGGGATTTTTCTCGAAAATCAATTCATATCCACTAATAATAATTAATAAAGTAAATAGTAAATGTTATCTTTAATTTGACTCTTATAATAATAAAATAATATTTTACTTGTTTATTTTAATAAATTAAGAAAATTAATTTTTTTGCCTGACTTTATCATTACCGTTAAATAATTCTATAAAATACTAATAGTCATGTTAAACTCCTAGGTAATTGAGAATCTAAAATTAAATTAATTCGTAGAGTATGCACGTTTTATTTATTTTTATCCTAATTGTTATTTTAACAAAAATATTTCTATATTAATAATTGGGCCTGTGTTGCGATGGGCGGTTTGCCCCTAATTTTAAAATATGGGTATTATGGTCATTTGCCCCTATCAAACTGATCTGTAATCACAGGCTACATACGTGTCTTATATCTACTTTGGAGTAGACACGTAGCAATACTTTGACTTTAACTTAAATAGTATGTCTCCCTCTTCTTGGTGGTATCTCTTCTTCTCTGTTTAGGAAAAGAAAGAGCAAGCACTTATGTAGTGGTGTTGTTGTATCAGATAAATTTATTATGTTGTATCATTAATTCAGTTTTTTGTTATCCTTTTTAGTTATTCGGTTAGATGTTTAGGTTTTGCTTTGAGATTTCTCTTCATCCTCCGTAAATTTTAATGGAAGAAAGAAGACCCAATTTGATTATACTCATTCTAGGTAATTAGATTAATTTACTAGATTTGTAGGTTTTGCTATGGACTATAGGAAGTGGGACTTTGTTCGATCCATAAATTTTGAGGAAAGAGTTGAATTTGCAGATGAAGTTTGGCTTGATTTTTTGTTGTGTGAGAGAAAAAATTAAAATAAAGAAATGCTCATCAAGGCTAGTTCTTTGTTGAGCTGGTGGATTCAAATGATTTTTTTGGTCAAAATTAGACAAGTGTTGTTTAATAAAGTACAGTATGAAAGAGATTTTGGAGGTGTCATAGTATGTGATTCATCGTATTTCACGTATAAAATTTAGTATTTTCTTCATTTAGGAAAGAAAAACTTTTGAAATTTGTAGTTCAATGTGAGTCATAGATATTTGTGGCTAAAAATCATTCCATAAGAATAAAATAAACATATTAAAGTTAAATTGTGGCTAAATAAAAAAATGTGGCATTTTTTGTATAAGGAAAGTAAATCTAGGACAAAGGGAGTATTAGTTTATGTTAGAAATCCATTTATATGTTGAATATGGTAACCTTTTCTAACTTCATTCTTTCTAATTAGAACCAATAACTAAACAAAATTCATTGACTTTGGAGTAGACACCACCAAGTCAATTTGTGAAATCTTTCTAACTTCAATACCATCTCAATTAAAAGGATAGTTGTTCACTCTTCTTTCCCCTTCCTTACATATATGTATGTCGATCATTTATAAGTTTGGAGAATAATCACAAAAGGATGTGTGCCTATGTTTTTCTTTTGTTGTAAATTTGGGAATAAAAGTGGTCACAACTCTATTCATTTTGATTATTAATCATTTCAAGTGATTGTAATTCACTTTAATCTCATCTTCTTTATGTAGCGGGTCTCAATTTTATGGTTAAGAATCTCAAACTTGAAAATATATCAGATTTTGTAAATTTATGTAAATAAGACGCACAAAATATTTTGTAAAACTTATGTAAATAAGACGTGCAAAATTATTTTGTAAACTTGGATCCCCTAGATAAATACTATCAAATAATTAATATATGTTTATTATTATGGATCACATCAATCTAGCTTAAACAATTTTTCTAATAGGCATAATACATATATTGGACCCTAAACTTGGCTTCAAATTTCAACTTTGACCTCCAACTTTCATAGTGCACAAACAAGCACTTTAACTATCCAACCTTTTAATAAATAAACACGCGATTTTTGGAGCAAAGAGCGTGAAATGCAAACGCTTCCACGTGTATTAGTGAGCCACTCAATGACTGCCAACTAATTAAACACTTTACACGTCCATTTTAGAACTAAAAAAAATAAAAAATTAATTAAGGGTAGAGTTGTCATTTCAGCATTTTTTTTACTGTTGTGTGCCTCAAAAATTACTTCTAACTCGCGCAAAATGCGTGCACATCACGCGTTTTGCCAGGTAAGACACGCGTGTTTATTTATTAAAATGTTGGATAGTTAAAGTGTCTATTTGTGCACTTTGAAAGTTGTAGGTCAAAGTTAAAATTTGAAGTCAAGTTTAAGGTCCAATATATGTATTATGCCTTTCTAATAATACATAAAAGTTAGACTTGTATTTGAACCAAACGACCCTAAAGGCTACAACTAGGACTTCTGTATTTCCTAAATTCAACAAGGACTGCATATTTCTTCAGGTTCTGTAATATTCGCGGGGAGTAAAAATGGCGGTTAGATTCAAACATTCGAAGCAGTCTCTCTCCCTTTCTTCAGAATACGTTAACAAGTTCATCAAAACCCAAATTAACCTTTCAAAACCCACTCCAAAACTCTGGTCTGATCATGATGATGCTAAATCTTTTGACCCATACAACAATGGTGTACATAGTACATTGACATTGAGCCACCCCATTTTGCGAATTTTAGATTCTTGCACCCCGAAATTGAGACAATTTAATCAAGTACATGCCCAGCTCATTGTTTCAGGTATCTTTCAACACCCTTTAGCTGCAGGTCGAGTTATGATGAAACTTTGCTCTTCACAATCCACTTTTTCTCATGCTGTAAAGATTTTTGAGAATCTTGAATACCCAGATGCTTTTATTTGTAATACAGTTATGAAATGTTATGTGAATTTCGATGACCCGGAAAAGGGTTTGGTGTTTTACTCTGATCAGATGGTTAAAAATGGGATCTTTCAGAATCATTATACGTTTCCTATATTGGTTAAGGCTTGTGCTGATTTGGGTAGGGTAAGAGAAGGGGAAATGGTTCATGCCCATGTAGTGAAATGTGGGTTTGAGTTGGATTTGTATACTAGGAATGTTTTGATTCATATGTATTCAGTGTGTTGTCGGATTCATGATGCAAGGAAGGTGTTTGATTTAAGTTCTGACTCAGATTTGGTGACTTGGAACACAATGATTGACGGGTACGTGAAAAATGGAGAAGTGAATCTTGCGCGTTATGTTTTTGATGTAATGCCTGAAAGGGATGTTTTTAGCTGGAATTCCATGTTATCTGGATATGTGGGGATCGGAGATATGGAGGCTGCAAAGTTGCTGTTCCAGGAGATGCCTTCGAGGGATACTGTTTCGTGGAATTGTTTGCTTGATGGATATTCTAGGACTGGAAATGTAGTAGCTGCCGGTGCTCTGTTTGAGCAGATGGATTATCGGAATGTAGTTTCTTGGACTACTTTAATGGCTCTTTATGTGCGGTTGAAGGACTATACGGGATGTTTGGGATTGTTTGATATAATGATGCAAGGAAGAGATATTCAGCCAAATGAGGCTATCCTCATGAGTGTTTTGACTGCTTGTGCACATTTAGGGAGACTTGATCGAGGAAAGTGGATACATTCATATATAAGATACAGTGGGAAGGTTAAGCCTGACATGTTGCTTTCGACTGCCCTATTGACAATGTATGCTAAGTGCGGTGAGATGGAGTTGGCGAAAGAGGTATTTGCTGAGATGCCAGAAAAAAGTGTCGTCTCGTGGAACTCTATGATCATGGGTTATGGAACTCACGGGCATGGCGAGGAAGCACTTGAAACATTCTTGGAGATGGAAAAAAGTGGAGTGAGGCCTAATGGTGCTACGTTCATTTGTGTTTTAAGTGCGTGTACTCATTCAGGGATGGTATTAGAGGGATGGTGGTATTTTGATGTGATGACTAGAGTTTATAGAATAGAGCCTAAAGTTGAGCACTACGGCTGCATGATTGATCTTCTTGGGCGGGCTGGTTTGATGAGAGATTCTGAAGACCTCATTAAGAATATGCCTATGGACTCCGGGCCCGCATTATGGGGAGCTTTGCTTTCAGCTTGCAAGACCCACTCAAATCTGGAACTTGGTGAGATCGTCGCCAAGAGATTAATTGAGAGGGATCCAGAGGATATCGGATCCTATGTGCTTCTTTCCAACATATATGCTGCACAAGAGAGATGGGATGACGTGGAGAAGGTAAGAAAAATAATGGTTGTAAACGGAATTAGGAAGGAAGCAGGATCTAGCCTAGTCCAATTTGCAAACTCGGACATGTGGTGTTTTCCAGAAAATGTTTCAGTACACAAGAGAATGATGATGTCTTCCATGTTGAGTGAGATGGGAGCTCAGATCAAATGTCAGATGGAAACGTGATGGAATGGAGGAACTTGAATATAATGGAATCCTTTGGAGAAGCAACAACAGGGACATAAATGCCAAAAGAGATATAGTGAATTGAGGACATCAAACTCGCAGAGCATAACTGCAACAGCTTTTGAGCTAAGATTACATTTCTTTGCATATTCTGGTACAGCAGAAAATCCGGCATAGTGCAGCAAGTCTATTATGCTTGTTTTACCGTCTACAACCGACCTGCAACTTTGTGGTGGGACGATGACTGACAATTGGAATAGAGAGTGAACATCTTCGATGTGGAATTTTTGAAAGATTAGATTTTTAAATTGGCTGAGATATCCTCAGGTTGAAGAAAAAGCCACTAGTGGATAACTTAAGATCATCACTTATTGCAGTGAAATCTCAAAGTTGGCAGGAAAGGCATCTGAATAAGCTGAGTACTCCAAAATCTCCTACTTCGGTTTCTTTTATACATAATATATCTGAAGATTCTTCAGGTTGAGATAGCTTATGGATTCTAATAACATAGCTGTCTTCCATTGTATCTGTAACTATCAGAGTTTTCCGCCTTTGTCTGTAACAACCACAGCTCTATAGTATGCTTACAGTTAACTTCTTTGCCTCGTCTTGGTTACTTGTGTTTTGTTATCAGCTAAGAGGTTCTCATGACTAGAGTCTTGTGACCAGGATTAGTGTTCCATTTGTAGAGGTTAATTGGGGTGGCTGTATTCAGCATGTGCTTTGAAACACTGTGCAGAAATTTGTAGTTTAATCTAATGCAAGCAATAGTTTAAGTTGAATGATCAGATTTGTAATCTAATTGAAGAACTTTAGTTTACACATGAAATAATGTACTGTAGCAGTTAAACATAAACATATTTTGATTTAGTGCTCCCACTGTACCATTTATGTGAGATTCTTTCCTTTTTAGTCCGTTCCAAAAAAAAGTCACCTTTCTATATATAGAAACAGTTAACTCTAAACTTCCAATTCTATGCTTAACATCATAGTTTTATAGCCACAGAAATGTCATGGCACAGTTTAGACCCCAAGGTCCAAAAGGTTTCCTTTCGTCTTTGTCTCTGTTGCCATTCAAACACTTCACATAAAAATGAAACAGAGGGAATAATTACATGCGATGCAGAATTTAGGACTTTAAGGAATGCCTGTGTACCGATTGAATTTGATTTGGTGGATGCGGTTCAGGAAGATGATGGGCTCAAGGTGTGATTACCTGAGGTGGGGCAAAACCCATGCACAACTTAAATAATAGATGTAGACAAGGTCTGTATTCTTACATTCCGGTCATGAATCAATATGAAAAACTGTTTTAAAGCATAAACTTTATTTGTTGAAAATACATAATTGAGTCAGGATATTTTTTGTTGATTATATTTACTAGCCCGTAAAGAACAATAACTACCGCAGAGTAACAATATCAAAGAGACAATAAGCTTTTATAGTAAAATTTAATCAAATAGCAACAGTCCTTTGTGTTTATGCATCTGCTTGTATTCCTGAGTCGTATGTGTCACCAGCTTTCCAGTTTTCAGGTATATTATTGACAGGAACAACCCATGTCTCATCTTCGTCATCAACACTCAATAGCATTCTGATTTGCAGAGGTCCCCTTGGAGGTGAAGTAGTAGTCCACACTGCTCCACGTGTCCTGTCCAACAGCTTACATACAAAATTTTGTGTCTGCATATTGAAAGAAGATGGTATTCAAAACATTGAAACATAGGAAAAAATGGATGAAGTAGTCTTAACTTCTCCTATTGTTATTTCTTTATCGACTGTATGTAGAAACTTTTGCTGTGTGGATTCTGAAAGATGAAACAGCTGTTAGGTTCTTGCAAGCTAGCAGTTATACCTCACATAGTTGCACAGCTGTAATATCCTTTTTGCCTTGTTGATACCATATCACAAAAGCCAAGTAATGAGGATTGTCGCTGCTCTCTTCAATCTTGATTGTAATATTTTTGTCCGGGTAGGTGCATGAGACCCTGTTCGATGGAGAAAGAGGAATAGATATGTGAATCTCCCTTTTAACAGAAGAGAAATTGGCAAATTGCTTATTGGTACCTTATGCTGTACTCGATTAATTGATATCCAATGATCCATGTTTGCTTATATACTTTGAATATTTACAGGCCTAGCTATAAACTAACTTCAACTGGGAGATACATCTTACCTTCTGTATTCTATATCCACCACACCAAGTGGCAATATAGAAGCAGCAGCATCTGTTGTCTGAGCCATGCGAGCAAAGGCTCGCTGACTTAGAATAAAGTCTGTGCGATCACCTGCACCTTGGTCTGTTACAACTACAGTCACTCCTTTATCAGAACAGTAGTTACTGTCGGTGCACCTCACCTAGAAAAACAAGGTAAAGTCCAGAATGACATCTTATACGTGAAAATTTTGGCTAGTTATTATCTATTTATTGACTACATAATTTTTCTTCCTTTTTATTCATTACCTGGTAGCATGCACCACATCCTAGACCATTTCGATAGAGTTCTGATGCTGCTGAGACATCTCCGCCATTGATTGTTGCTCCAAAAGTACCAAATCCACAACTCCCAGCTGCATGCAACCAAACAGAAGAGGTTATTCTACGAGAAAACTTTAAACTCTCTACATTTTATGCACATGTTAATATGTTATTTGTCAACTATGCATGTCAAGAATCTCACTTTCTGTTCCTTTTTCTTCTGAATTTGGATAGTGGGCTGCACGAGAACGAGTGAAACAATCCGGGCATGTTTGAGAGTTCCCCAGAGTTTGCATGAAGATAAAAGATGCTACAAAGACAGAGAGAACTTGAAGAGGAGCCATTTGGATTAAAGATCACAAGAAAGGGTAATTAAGCAAAAGAGAACAAGTTGATGTTGCAGGGAACTGAAATGGCGTTCGAGTATTTATAGTGAACTGAAAGCAGCAAATAAGCCCCCACATTGGTAAAACTTAACTATGACTTTTGACATTCTGTTCAACTTCAATTTTGAATGCAGGGAATTCTGGCTTTACTTTCCCAAGCAACCTTTTTGGACCTTGCATCACTTGTTTTTAGATAATATAGGGAGTCACTTTCTCACTTTATTAGGTGAATATTTTGTTCTTCTTTAATCTCTTAGTTCAATGTGTTCCTTGCCAACCTTCAACTGCTCAGTTTAGTTTTTGTGTTACTATTCCCTAATCCTTCCGTCCTAATTTAAGTGATGGTTTTTGACTGGGCCCGGAATTTAAGAATGAAAGAAAGACTTTTGAAACTTGTGGTCTAAATCAAGTCTTACATATTGCGGGTTACCTCTCCTGTGTGGTTTGCGAGCTATTGCGTAGGAGCGGAGGTTTTACCCTGCGGGTTTCCCTTGTCATCAAAAAAAAAAAACAAGTCGTACATATTTGTGTGTTCATAAATCATCTCATTAAGGGTAAAATGAAAATTTTAAAGTTAAATATTTACTAAATACAGAAAGTTGCATTCTTTTTGGGACTAACTAAAAAAAGAAAAAGAAAGAGTATCACATAAAACTTAACTAGTGATGAAGAATTACTAATTACTCCTTCCGTTCTAATTTATGTGTCACCATTTGACCGAGAGTGGAGTTTAAGAAGAAAAGAAAAAAGATCTTTGAAACTTGTGGTCTAGAACAAACTTTAGACATTTGTGTGATTATAAATTATTGGGAAAAAGGACAAATATACCCCCAAACTATCGTAAATGGTATGCAGATACCCTATGTCATACTTTTGGGACATTGGTGCCCCTGCCATCAAAAAACTAGAGCATATATGCCCTTCACTCTAACGGAAGACTAAATAGGGACACGTGGCGCAATCTTATCTGTCGGTCCAATATTTAATAAATGTTGGGTTTGTGGATAAGATTATGACACGTGTATGTCTGTTAGTATAAAGGGTATATATGCTGACGGCAGGGGCACCAATGTCCCAAAAGTATGACGGAGGGTATCTGCATACCATTTACGATAGTTCAGGGGTATATTTGTCCTTCTTCCCTAGATTATTTAATTCAGGGTAAAATGAAAATTTGAAGTTTATGTTGTTCATAAATATAAAAAGTGACATTTTTTTGTGACAAATTAAGGGAAAGTGTGTAAAAAAATCGGAATAGAGTTGGTAGTTATTTCTTCTTCCTTCATGACATGGCCTCTTTCTTGATAAGAATAACCTTGAAACTAATATCTTAGTGGTCTGAACCAACTTGTGTGATACTGACTCCTCCATCTGCCCCTTCCACTGCTTCCTAAACTTACTCACACTCGGTGTTTACACGAAGCTACATTAATTTACCATAGTTTAGTGATTAAATTGAGGTGAGACCGTCATATTTATCAACTATGGTTAAGTGAATAAGTGATAAAAGTGCATGTAACGATACATGTTATGCATTCATTGAGTTGATGAAAACACCAAGTGTAAGTAAGTATTTTCCGGTTTGATATGGATGTATGAAGAATATATGAACAACAGATATAGCTTTTGACTTTGCAGGACAAATTTCATTAGGAATTTGCTTGTTGTAGAAGTAAAATTGGGGACAAGTTAGGTGCTTTTGCACAATAGAATCTAAGGTCCTACTAACGGTTTGCTTGAAAATTCCAAAAGATGTGTTTAAAAGTCACAAAGAATAGAAAAAAGGAAGGAATCTGAATAGCTTGCTAGTTGCCAAATTTGGGTAAAGAACAGAAGAATATCAATGAAGTTGAACCTAGGCGTAACTGGTAAAGTTACTGTCACGTGACCAAGAGGTCATGAGTTTGAGTTGTGGAAACAATTTCTTGTAGAAATGCTGCCTACAATAGACCCTTATGGTTCAGTCCTTTCCCATACCCCACGCATAACGGAAGCTTAGTACACTAGGCTGCCCTTTTGGTTGCTAGTTGTCAAATATGGCTAAAGAAAACAACATTAGCTATTGACTAAGAAGTTTAATTGGCACTTTCAAAGGCTATAATCATTTGGATATTAAATGAGTACTTCTTTTATTAACTTGTGAAATCCCCACCATCCATCAACATATGGCTCTAAACTTGCGGTGGATAATGACACCACTCCTCATGTGCCTAACCTACGCGTCATTACACTTTTATCACTAAACGAAAGCCCTGGGTTGTAGCTTACTATATGGTCATAAGCTCAAGAATTTCATCAAGAATATTGATAAGAGCCCAGAGACGTACCTAGGAGGGGGTCACCGGGTTCACGTGAATCCATGCTCCCCTCCTAAATCATACTCCCTCCGTCCCTTTTTAGTTGTCCACTTTAGAAATGGCAAACAGATTAAGGCAACAATGATTAGCACAGTGAAGTTACAATTTTACCCTTATGACAACTTTTCACTTCAAAATTACAACCACTTATTTGAATTAAAGTGAAATAAATTGGAGGGAAACAATATACACTTTTACAATTTTCAAGAAGTGTAAATAAGGGTATAATAGGAAAAAATTTGTTGTTCTTTCTTGATTTGTCAAAATGGACAACTAAATAGGGACAACTAAAAAGGGAAATATGGACAAGTAAATAGGGACGGAGGGAGTATATAGTACTGTCATATTTTTTTAAAAATATTTAAATATAGATATGTGAACCCATAGTTGAAGTATCATACCGTGCGATTATGATTGGGTGCACATTTCTAAGTGAGATTAGAAATTTGAATCTTTTATATCTAGTTTTATTTTCCTATCTAAAATTGGGTAACACAAATGGTTTGGATAGGTAAAAATAATTTTAGACCTATAATTTTTAATTTTTAATTATATTTAGTGATAAGAATCTAAATGTTAAACTAATCAAATTTATATCTTAGATCCACATTTTCGTAATAGTATACCCATCATCTCAAAATCCTGGATACAGAGTCATATGTCCAGGGAGCAAGTACTTGTAACAACACATCATCTATGACATGAAACCCACTGAAGGATTTTGACCCTACAATGTCTGCTACTACTCTATTATTCTTGAACCTTGACAAGTTCATTTCACAACATTCTGCTTTGGATATAAATCACCCCACTTGAAGGGTCTCAATGTACCACTATAAATTTGTAACTGGTTGTCTTGTTCACTTGGATTTGACCTCTTGATACATGAACTTAGTGCTAATTGCCCCAACTTCAAGATAATATTTTCGTTGAGGGAATTCAAAATATAAAGAAATGAACAACTGAAAAGATCAACGAGATTCAATATATGTAAATTAACAATGATTAATTACTCTTTGCTATAATTTATCTTTGTTACATTTTCTCAGTAATGAGAAACAATTTGAAAGAATCGAGTTGACTAGAACTACTAGGTTTAATGCCTTTTTTATTGAATTGAAACGTGTTCATTCATTTTGACTGTTTTAGCGAATTTTCTCATACTAATTTCTACTCTACCTTCTCGAAGTTCATTCTTCGGAGAACTCCTTTTAAATAATTTTGATTGATGCTTTCCAATCTATTTCCTTTATGATTTCATTCTAAATCATATAAAGACAATTCCTATTTGGGCAAGTATTTTACCATTAAGAAGCAATCATCTCTTGTATATATTTATCTATATATATAATATAATTTTTCGTTGAAGAAATTGAGTGACCTTTGATATCATGTTAGGGTTCTAATCGGTCTAAATTTTTGCTCCATAAAGCCCATGCAAGGCGAAACACTTCCTAGAAGAATTTTTTTCATACTTAGAATTCGAAACATTTGATTAAGGATGAAAGGATCTTATCCATCTTATTACAAGCTTTATTGATTTCATTAAAGAATGTAATGGAATCGTTAATCGTTATGATCAATCGTTTTTTTTTATTATTAATGACCTTATATTTGAATCCGAAAAATCAATTTCACTATTAATAGTTGTTGGGATTGAGATTACTTCTTTCTCTCTTGTGTGCATCGTTTTCAAAACAAAACAGGAAAAAGTAAATGATAGTGTGATCTGCTATCACTTATTGAGTTCGTTGAAATTCTGTCAGTATTGAAAATATTTGTTGGGATTGATATTTCTTCTCTCTCTCCTGTGTACATCATTTTTAATACAAAACAAAAAGAGTAAATGATAGTGTGGTCTGCTATTATTTATTGAGTTCGTTGAAATTTTGTTAGTTCAATTGTTAGTATTGAAGAACAATGTTTCGTAATATTATGAAAAAAATTAATCTAAATCTAAATAATTACAAGAAATTTTTATTTTTTTTAAAATCACAATTTTTTATTATACTCAAAACTTATTTATCCTACATTTTTTTATTTTTGTTTCCAGTATATTCCTCGAATGTGAGGACCTAAACATGTACAAGGATGGAAATAGTCATATATCCTATATAAATATACCATAAAGGTTGTTCACATTAAAAAAAAGTGAGAAAAAACTCAAATATATTTAACTATATATGCCATCCATTAATAGTTAGAGTTTATTCGTGCATTTACCGTGACACAATGTGAAAATTCGTGTTATTTTTTACTAACAATTCAAATAATAATAACAAAAATATATGTGTTATTAATCTCTTCACCAACAAATTAAATAATAAAAAATAAAATAAAATACACGTATTATCAAACTCTTCAGTAATCCTCAAATAATAAAAAAAGATGCACGTGTTTTTGATCTCTTCACTAACAACTCAAATAATTAGAAAGTGCATATGGTATCAATTTTTTCACTAACAACTCAAATAGTCAGAAAATAGGTGTCATCAATCTCTTCACTAACAACTCAAATAATTAGAATTTATACGTGTTATCGATCTCTTCACCAACAATTTAAATAATTAGAAAATACACGTGTTATCAATCTCTTCATTAACTACTAAATAATCAGAACATACATGTGGTATTAATCTCTTCACTAACAACTCAAATAATGACAAAAATACACGTGTTATCAATCTTTTCCCTAACAACTCAAACAATCAATAAAAATACTCATGTTATCAATCTTTTCATAAGCAACTCAAATAATAAAAAAAAAAACACATGTGTTATCAATTTCTTCACTAACAACTCAACTAATAAAAAAATACACGTTTATTAATTTCTTCACTAACAACTTAGTAATCTCTTCACTAACAAGTCAAATATAATAAAATACACATG